TGTGTGTGTGTGTGTGTGTGTGTGTGTGTGTGTGTGTGTGTGTGTGTTTACATCTCATGACTTGAGCTAACTTGACCTCAGGTGACCTAGAGTTTCCTGTGGTACCATCAGTTAGAGAGTAATCTTCATGTGACTGTACTATGGTATCACACCACTGCTCTGCATGAGGGTCAGTTAGTACACGACCTCCCTGTAAGGAGACTGTTCTGTGACGTGATTGGTGGATCTTAACTGGATCTGGCTCCTGATAGGCCGAGGTGTGTTCGGGGGCGGCGGCTGAGGTCATCCAGTCGGTGGTGAACGGAGCGGACGGCTGCATCTTCTGCTTCGGACACGCTCACCTGGGTAACACACACACACACACACACACACACACACTTTTCTGAGTGTCACATGACTGTTGTGTTGACTCCGCCCCCACACCAGGTAAGACCTACACCATGATTGGTCGAGACTGCTCCACCCAGAGTCTGGGCGTGGCTCCCACAGCCATCTCGTGGCTCTTTAAGGTGATCGAGGAGCGGAGGGAGAAGTCTGGAGCTCACTTCTCCGTCAGAGCGTCCGCCGTGGAGGTCTCCGGTCGGGAGGAGACGCTCACCGACCTCCTGGCTGAGCTCGCCTCCTCCTCAGCGGGGGGGCACCAGGAGGCCCCGGGCCCCGCGGTGTCCCTGAGAGAGGACCCTCTCTGTGGATCCCAGGTTAGAGAGGAGCTCCTTCCTCCTCCACTTCCTATAAATCATCTCTTTATTTCATCGCTTCACCTCTCAGGAGCAGCACACTGACCAGATTTTCAAAATAAAAGCCGGCACAGAGACTCAGGATTAATGATGCAGTTCGCTCTTGTGTCACTGAGGATGTCTGGTACCAGACGACCATTAGACAGCTGTAATCATGTGTATCTGCTAAAATGATAAACAGCATAAATACATGCAGGAAGCAGCGTTCAGATATTTCCAGTGAAAACCAGATGTTTGTTATCTCCTCGCCTCCTTCCCTCCCTTCCTCCTGTCTGACCTCCTCTTCACCTCCTGGGACTTATTCTCTGTCCAATTAGTTGTGACCTCCTTCCTTTCTACTCTTATATTCTATTTCATCTCCCCAGAGCTTCTTCTGTCTGACACTTTTATCTCCGTTCACTTCCTTTTCTTCATCAAACTTCATTCTGTCTCATTTCTCTTCTCTCACTTTTATCTTAATAAAATGTCAGTCATGTCGTTTTCTCATTGAGACGTCTTTATAAACTCACAATGACGTCTTCATCTCACCTGCAGAGTGACATCTTTTCTTCTTCTGCTCTGCGACTGAGCAGACTTTGGGCAACATCCTGTTTATGGCCTTCAGAGTGATGGTTTATGTGAATCTGTCCTCGAGTCGACAGCCTCAAATAGTGGTCAGGTTTGCTAGCATTAGCATTAGCATTAGCACTAGCATTAGCACTAGCACTCAATAGCTCTAACATAGCACAGGCACTAAATTAACATAGCACTATAACTAGCGCGCCCACCTCCACGTCCCTCCGTCATGTGTTGTATTTGCCTCACAGTATTTCTATTATTATATGGTTCCCCTCTGGGTTCTTGTTCCCCTTGATCTCCTGACCGTCTCTCTCTCCATCAGCTGCAGAACCAGACGGAGCTGCGGGCGAACAATGCAGAGCGAGCAGCGTTTTTCCTGGACGCCGCCCTGACGGCGAGGAGGAGCAGTCGGGCACCAAGCGACCAGGAGGCCCGGAGGAACTCTCACTTCCTGTTCAGCCTGCACCTCAACCAGGAGAGGCTGGACAAAGGCAGCAAGGCAGCAGGTCAGTTCACCTGGTTATTAACTGATCTGATGTTAGAGAGTTGTGAAGTTTTTCAAAAGCTTCAGAAAATATCTGGTTCTTCGGCTGAAAGTCAAAACTACAAGAATCCTGTGAAGTTACAAACTGAAAGAGGGAAGTCAACTACAACTCCCAGGATGCATTTCACTAACACTGTAGTTTATCTTGACTCAATCACACATCCACCATCCTGCTGCCGTAAATATTCACTACAACAAAGTCATTTGTTTCCAATTTCCTCCTTTTTGTTATGTAGAAACTACAGATTTTAGTTTTTAAAGATTCACGTCTTCAGTGGGAACCAATGGGCTTTGAGCAACAGACAAACACGGAAAGTCAGACCGTACCTGTACAGGTTCCACCAACAGAAATCATCCACAACCACAGACATCATCCACAACCACCGACATCATACACAACCACAGACATCATCCACAACCACAGACATCATCCACAACCACCAACATCATCCACAACCACAGACATCACCCACAACCACAGACATCATCCACAACCATCATCCACAACCACAGACATCCACAACCACCAACATCATCCACAACCACAGACATCATCCACAACCACAGACATCATCCACAACCATCATCCACAAACACAGACATCCACAACCACAGACATCCACAACCACCGACATCATCCACAACCACCAACATCATCCACAGACATCATCCACAACCACAGACATCATCCACAACCACAGACATCCACAACCACCGACATCATCCACAACCACCGACATCCTCCACAACCACCGACATCATCCACAACCACAGACATCCACAACCACCGACATCATCCACAACCACCGACATCATCCACAGACATCATCCACAACCACAGACATCATCCACAACCACAGACATCATCCACAGACATCATCCACAACCACAGACATCATCCACAACCACAGACATCCACAACCACCGACATCATCCACAACCACAGACATCCACAACCACAGACATCATCCACAACCACAGACATCCACAACCACCGACATCATCCACAACCACCGACATCATCCACAACCACCGACATCACCCACAACCACAGACATCACCCACAACCACAGACATCATCCACAACCATCATCCACAACCACCGACATCATCCACAACCATCATCCACAACCACTGACATCATCCACAGACATCATCCACAACCATCATCCACAACCACCGACATCATCCACAGACATCATCCACAACCACAGACATTATCCACAACCACAGGTCGTAGACTCCGACCCCCTCAGGCTGAATCAAATCTACCGTTAGTGATGGTGCAGCCATCATTAGCATTAGCAGTTGACTCTCTTCTTCTTCATCTTCTGCTATTAATTTCCAAACACGTAGCTGCTAATTAGCGTCATTGGGAGCATTAACGAGCAGAGAGGCTACGCTAACGCCACCACCGCCCACGTCTGCCTGTCACAGCAGAGCCATTTCCACAGTTATTAGTGTTTCACTGTGACTCCGTCCACAGCTGGAATAAATCTGCATGGCTAATGAGGCCCGAAGCCTCCGTGTCCTGCAGTGTTTATAGACCGGCGGGTATAAACTAAGCTGCTCTCAGCAGTTTGTAAATCTTGCTGATGCCGACATAATGAGATGAGCGGAGATAACAGACTGAAACTGATCCGAGTATCTGATCTGAGCTGCAGAGGCGTCCGGAGGAAATGAAGCTTGGGACTTGTCGGTCTTGACTTTAGACTCTGACAATGGGGCTTGCCAGTCTTTATTAGGGACTTGTTGGACCTGACTTGTAACTTGACTTAGGACTTGCTATTCTTGTCTTGGAACTTGTTGATCTTGACTTCTGCCTTGAATTGGGATTTGTATGTTCTTGACCTGGGACCTTGTGGTCTTGAATTGATTGGTGTTCTTGTTCTGATTGTCATTAAATTAATCGATTAATTGACCAGTCCTTTAACCAGCCGATGTATTCCAGCAGCAATAATCAGTTAAACAGGCTGTATTGTAGTTTGTCTTTTTAAAAACTTCCTCTGTGTCTCTCAGTGTCTGGTGGGAGTCGTCTTCACCTCCTGGATCTGGGAAGCTGTGAGACGGACATCAGCGGGACCAGAGAGGGAGGAGGAGGACAGTGTCTGTCTCTGTCTGCGCTGGGAAACGTCATCCTGGCCCTCGCCAACGGGGCCGAGCACGTCCCCTACAGGTACCAGAGCTAAACGACACAACCGGTCACGTCCCCTACAGGTACCAGAGCTAAACGACACAACCGAGCACGTCCCCTACAGGTACCAGAGCTAAAAGACATTAATAACCCCAGATATTAATGAACTGGCAGCCAAGAAAAGATGCCAAACATCTGGCTCTGGTATGTATGCATAAAATAATGTAGCCTACCTCAACATGTATTCTTCTTGCACTTTGTCCAATATCCCTTCTGTCCTGTTTATTAAATGGTGACTCTATTTGGCCCTCAACGTAGTCACAATTTCTTATGTTGTCCCTCTCTGGGATTGAGTTTGACACCCCTGCATATCTGCTGTATTATGCTAAAAGGTGTCATTTTGTAACATTTCGGTTGTTGGTGTACCGCGGGATCTTTTTAATGTAAAAAATGTGCCGCGGCTCAGAAAAGGTTGAAAAACACTGGTGTACAGGTACCAGAGCTAAAAGACAACCGTTCAAAAGTTGGTATTTTTCTGTGTTCCATTTACCTCACAAATCAGAAGTTGGAATGACGACAAACCCAAAGGCAGAGTTCTGGAGCCAGGTTAGCTTTTGTTAGCTGTTGAATGAATCCATCACCAACACGACTAAATAATAAAAGATAAATTGTTTTTCAGCTGAAGGAAGACGTTTGGAGGTTTAGTTATTCTTTATCTTTCTTCACATAAAGGGAGCTGATTCAAACATTCACTGATTCACATTGAATTTCCCAAAATGTCATAAATTTGCATAAAACTTGGACCTCAGCTTTGTTGTTGTGGTTAACAGCAGCTTGGATTGCAGTATGTCGATTCACTCTGTGATCCTTGTAGCTCTTCTTTTCACAGGCAGGATTTCATCCACGTTTCCCTCCATTTCTGACTACAGCTCACATGTGGCGTGGAGTTCAAAGTGGGCTTCATTAATGTCAAATGAGAGATCATTCCTATTCCCTTTTTTGCTTGTCGGTGCCCGACTGTTGCGTGGCGGTAATGAATGGTTTCTGGGATCCTAAGGGGGGGTTCTCAGGCCTGTCTTTGCCCTTTTCTTTTGGCTAACGAGGGGTTTCTTGATGTATTATTCAGGGACAGTAAGCTCACCATGCTGCTCAGAGAATCCCTCGGAAACATCAACTGTCGAACCACCATGATCGCCCACATCTCCGACTCCCCGGCCAACTACATGGAGACGCTGACCACCGTGCAGCTGGTCTCCCGCATCCACAGCATGAGGAAGAAGAAGCCCAAGGTTCTTCGCCTTTCATTCAGGTTTCCTGTCTCAGTGCTAAGTGCAGGGTTGAGAGAGACGCTGATCGGGACACTTAATGTCTGTGGGCATTTTTAAATTATTAGTTTTTTATTTCTGTCATCATCCTGTTTCTTAGAATTCCCACATGAGGCTTTCCTTCTTCTATTTAATCCAAAATACTTTATTTGTCCCCTCAAAGGGAAACTTAAGAGAAGCAAGTTTGGAAACACGAATCCACATAAAATGTGACAATGTTTGAGATAATGACATCGTGCACTAACTATTGGGTGTAACTACAACAATATCCTGTAAAACAAAGAGTTAAAAAGGTCATTTCTGATGCACTGTGACTGATGGCTTCTGTAAAACATTTCACTGAAACTGTTCCCATGTGAACTAAACAATAGTTGAGTTCTTTGTCGCATGGATACAAAATGTTGGCAAAACATGTGGCGTGATGACCTTCTCTTGTCTTGAAGAATGTCGTGTTTTCTACGAGATGTTCGGAGTGATGTGACTCTGACTGAGACAGCTGAGACAGAAAGTAACGGTGACATTTTAGAGTTTTGAAAAGCACATTTATAAAATAAAAATTTAAAGGGAATTATTTTATTTTATTTATTTATGTTCAGTTGTACTTCCACGATGCTGGCTTTGATAAAATCTATAGTGTAAATCTTTGACGGGGGTCTGAGAGTCACACGGTCATAATTCAGCGAGTTCTTCTCTGATATGTCAGATAATCAATATCACTGTTCCCATGGGGACGGCAGTTTTATGGATTGAAACAAGCCATATGGTGACAAGCTTATATATCTCATTGACATGCATTTTTACCCAGCCCACAGTTTGAACTCGTAACCTCACAGTGTATCGACGACGTCTGCTCCGGGAATGGATTTGCCTTCAGGTAGTTCAGGCCTCTCTAGTATGTTAATCCTGTGCGATTTCCTTTTTCTATCCAGCAGACCTCCTCCAGCTCATCCGAAGGGGACAGGTCCTGTGAGGAAGGCCCGTCCCATCGACCTCCTCATCCTCGACCGTTCCACCCAAAGATCGTGGCCCTCGACACAGACACGCCCCTGCTGCTGCTGTCTGGCGACCCCGACTGCTCCTCCAGCAGCGAACACTCCTGCGACACCGTCATCTACGTCGGACCCGGAGGGGTGGCCGTCTCGGACCGAGAACTCAGCGACAACGAGGGACCGCCTTCCTGCATTCCAATCATCCCCTCGCTGACCAAAAAGTGGGTGAAAGACGCACCCAGATCCGACGGCAATCACTTAAAGTGCAACACGTTCGCAGAGCTGCAGGAGAGACTCGACTGCATCGACGGCAGCGAGGGTCCGGACGCGTTCAGCACGGAGGGAAAAGCAGCACAAGCAGCGGCGCTCAGGACTCAGACTGGAGCCACTAAACCCACCGAGACAACGTCTCCACCCAGATCAGATAAGAATCCCTCCCCCGGGTTCTCAGAAAGCACATCATGCTCAAATAAACCCGATCAGGGACAATCCACATTCCCTTCAGCCGGTGGCCTCATGGACTCTTCCAAACAGACGAGTGCAGATGTGGAGAAACTTGCTAACCCCTTTCATCCATGTGTGGTGAAACCTAGTCGGAGTTTTTCTCAGGACTCGGAGCCCGTGCTGAGAAAGAAGGTCTACCTCAGAGGAGGTGTTCCCAAGCTGTCAGCCTCTCCGTCCTTACCCAGGACATCCAGGGCATCATCTCAGCCTCAGGTTGTAGGTAGGACGCCCCCTGTGGGTATGAGTCAACTGAGGCAAAGCCACCCTCTGGGGTCTCCTAACATGGAACGGGCCCACAGTCTTCGGGCAGCTCTGTTCGGAGGACACCTTGACAGGGATTTTCTGAGAACTACCATCACATTGCAGCAGCCCGTGGAGCTGAACGGGGAGGACGAGCTTGTGTTCACGGTCGTGGAGGAGCTTCCTCTCGGCCTCGTCCCAGACAACGGCCGCCCCTCCAACCTCCTCGGCTTCAAGAGTGACCGCTCTCGGCGAGGGTTATCCTCCGACTCTCGGCCCGTCAGCATCATCAGCAGTATTAATGACGAGTACGATGCTTACATGGGTCAACAAGGAGCTGTGGGACCCGGGGCCGACGTTGGCACCGACTGCCGGGAAGGGTTGTTTCCTCACCATAGCGACAAGCGGTCGGCTCGCGGCTCACGGCCGAGTGAAGTGAGTGCTGATTCGGCTGAAGGCACTCATTCAACAAGCAGGCTTTACTTGAGGGACAAAGTCATGGCATCGGAGAATGCATCCATGCTAACCTCGCCAAGTATGTTTCATAAACAGACATTTTTGCAGCACAGCATGAAGAGCTCCCTGAATGACAGTGGCGTTGGTTTCTCAGAGCTGGACTGTAACCCTGCTACTCCAAACAAACCTTCTTTTACCAAGTGTCCTCCATCCCCTGACTCCACCAAAGCCTCTCTCGCGGTGAGAGACGGTACTCTGAACACTTCTGCATTAGCCCAGATTCCACATCCTGTCGCCCATTCCAGTCTTCCCAGGAAAAACAAGCCTACCTCATCTGCAGCCGTGGTCTGCAGCAGACAGGAAGGGAGACACGATGATGTTGTTTCGCTTCAGGGAAGCAGTCAGTTCGATCCCAGAGAGGTTGGGTTTCTCTCTGCAGGTAAGCCACCAAGAAGTGGCACGAGTAGTGTTTCCTCTAAGAGGCCCGGAGGGAACAGCAACAGCGTACCTCGGCTACCGAAGACGACAATGTCGTCTTCCGCTCAGAGGGTTGTGGATGGTTGTGAGAAGTCCAGCGGCAGGAGGGGAGATACTCTCATCAAGCTGCCACGACTCACCCGAGGTGCGACAACTCTAGGAACTGTTTCCGTTCCCCAGAATTCAGAATCAAAATGTGTTCGCGAGGGCGCTTCGGTGACGGGTACCCTGAGGTTCTCCTCCTTGGGGAAAAGGTTGAATGGGCAGAAAAGCAGTGTGATATCTAGGTCTGGATGTGGAAACATCTCCCCTCTTGCTCCGCCTGTTAGACAGTTGAGCCAAGACCTAAAGACAAGGACTGCACTGTCTCCAAGTGCCTTAAAAACAAGCAGCGCCATTGGAAAGTTTCCATTCCCTAAAACATCAACCTCAGAGGAGGAATTCAACATCAGGCTGTGGGCAGATTCATTCAGCCACAGAACATCTTGTTTAAAAACCGAACACAGTTTCGCCAGGACATCTTCCAGCCTGAAGACACGAGGGAGCAAAGCGGAGTCTTCCAGGTACTACGGGACTCTGAGGTCTCTGGAGAGTCAAACTTTAGCTGGGTCCAAGCTTGAGCTGTCCAGGGAGAGCAATGCTGCTACTTTAGGGAGCAACAGCAGATCCAACAGATCAGTTCCAAGACTCGGGGTTCCGGCCTCCAGCTCCACATCTGGTTCTTCCTCCCAAGTTTCTCCCGGTGTCTTTGCAACTACAAGCAAACTGGGGCCGGTCGAAGGCAACAACAGCAGCTCTCGAGCAGCAACGTCTGGTGGATCAAAGGTTCGTACTTTGTCCACCGGCAGTCCCAAGACCCCTTCCTCCTCACCTAAACCTCTCGATCACGTAGCCGGACGCAACACCGGCCTCCCTCCAACTGGAAAGTCCCCGGCTCGGTTGGGGGCAGCAGCCAAGACGGGAAGAGGCACCGTCATGGGCACCAAGCAGGCCATCAGCAGGGCGGCTAACAGCCGGGTTAGTGAGTTAGCCACCGGTAGCCAAAGGAAGCAGCTCAACAGGGTATCCAGGGGAGAAACGGGAAGTGGTGGGACGACCGGTAGCAGCATCGGGTTGCCGGGCAACACGCCGCTACCTTCGCCTTACAGCAAGATCACGGCGCCTCGGAGGCCGCAGCGCCACAGCAGCGGGCACGGCAGCGACAACAGCAGCGTCCTCAGCGGAGAGCTGCCGCCCGCCATGGGCCGCACCGCCCTGTTCTACCACAGCGGGGGCAGCAGTGGCTATGAGAGCGTGATCCGGGACAGCGAGACCACCGGCAGCGCGTCTTCGGCGCACAACGACTCCGTGAGCGAAACCGGAGCATCAGCTTCGTCCAATAGGAGCAAAGTTTCTAGATCGCCCAAGAAGAGAGGAAACGGTGAGTCGGCTTTGCACTCGTCCACCTCCCTCCTGTCCTGTTACTGCTTCAGAGGTAAGAATCTCTATACATCAAGGTGCATCATTTTTGTACGTTTTGCTACGAATTCTGAATGAGAAGGTGTTGATTTAGGACCCAAACGTGACCAGATACCATGACTCAACAGTCTAAAGCCCTGCTTCCTTTAATGCACCCTTGCAGCCTCACACCTTGTAAAAGTGTTGGACAACATTCAAATGATTTATGTAAAAAAACATCTAAATCTACGGCCGTTTATTCTCTGGTTGGGTTTACAGGGATGTGATCTGGACTTTTCAGCACAATCAGCACAATATATTTTAATATTTTACATTTCAATGTGCAAATTTTTTTCGCACGATGGTGTTAAAACTTCATCAAGATTTATCTAAAAATATCCACAAATCTGAAACTTTCTCAGCAATGTGGACCACTTAGTGGTTGTTAAATCAGCTCAGAATGCATCTAGTTATACTGTAGTACACATAGTGTTGTATATATAGAATATAGTATATGTATTTGTTGCTAGAGCACAGCAGCATCTTTTATACAGTTTGTTCTTCTTGAGATCGATTAAAGACTTTAAAACAACAAACGGTTAATGTAGAGAAATGTCAAAATGTATTTATTTATTTATTCATTCTGCACCAATCAGTGAAGCTGTGAGCCAGAGTTCATCTGCTGTCCACAGATAACATGAAGCTTCTCAATGTGTTGATCAGAATGTGTGAGAAGCTACATCGACACATTAACACGTTTGTTTGTCCATATTGTGCTGACTGGATGAAAGCGGCTGTTCAATATCATATTTTCATGAATGCTGAGCACATTTAAGCCTTTAAGCGTTATCGTCACATCGTCACATTATGTGTGACGATGTGACCTTCCAGCAGCTGATTGTGATTCATGCAGCAGGTCAGAGAGTCTGATGCATGATCCGCCTCATGAATAATTCATGAGGCCGCTGAGATTCCCCATGTACATATCCAACTACACTCCCCCCTCACCGCTACACACTCCCCCCTCACCGCTACACACTCCCCCCTCACC